TGTTGTAACGTTGGTATATTAGCTTGTTTTGTATCCAATTATTGACAGTCTGGAAATTTATATAAAAACGCATGAAGTAACCAGAAACATCGATTTAATGTTATCCAATAAGATCCAAAATCCAAAACTCTGGATAATAGGTATAAGATCTGGTTTGAAACAATATACTCTGATTCTTTCTTTCTTGTTCCTTCTTCGAATTTTTTAAACTCAATTTAAAAATCTCCACAGATTTACTATTAATATATTAAAGTATGAGTGATGGATATTAAGGTCTTTCAAACACGCGCGATTTTTCGAGCACGACGGCCTAGCCGCGCTGTTGCCATGTCACCAGCTAAATGTTTCGGATGTTTGATAACTGAATAGGAAACATTTGGTTTGATCCAGGGCCTACTCTATCTACCTTTGATCTCGCCAATATTAGTTAAATGATTGAAAATGAATATAATTAGTATTATTATCACCTCGATTATTACATCTGATTGTAGTATTATTTTGAAGACTGGGAATGGGTCACAGAAACGCAGAATCTATTTCCACAAACCACTTTGCTTCTATTGTTCAAAATGAAACCAAGTAGGCGAACTACTTCGACAAAGGAAGAACATCCTACATCCTGATTATTTTTAATTGAATCAAGTTTCTCTGCTGTCGACAAAAGCATTATAAATGCATTTCATGATCTAATTTTAGATTTTGGTGCTTTATAGGTTGGTGTATGTAGTGATTTGAATTTGAATACTCACACACGACAGTGTCACATTTAGGAAGGGATAAAATGGAGTTACTTACCCAACTAAACCTTTTATTCTATTTCTTTCGCGTTCTCTACAGAAACTGGTATAGTATTGAAATATTTTTGAACAAATCATCTTCATCTTCTCTCTACCCCCTAGCTATGGATGCGCCACTGTCAAAAAAGCTTCTGCATTACTATTCCTCAGTTACCCTACATTCGTTTATGAGGCTATAAATAGAAAAGGGCTGAAGTGCTGGAAATATCTTCGGGGTATCTGTCAAATGTCTAGGGTGATTTCTGGAGCACAGTGAAAGGGTGTGAATCTCTGAAATTTGATATGAAGTGGTGCGTTTTATTCAAAGGGATGTTGAGAGATTCTTGATATGGAAAGTGTATGTCTATAGGGCGTGTCTCAGGTCTAACAATTTGATCAAGTTTGATGAGACGTCATTCTTGCCTGTTTGACTCAAATGGTTCGAAATATCAAAAAATCTTGATAGATATTCGAACAAAAATATTGGTTGAGTAGGTTCTCTGAAATGGAAAAATCTCAAGGAAAAATTAAATTGAAATTCATTTCAGTCGACCTCGTATTAACGACTAAGTTTAATTTATATGAAATCGTTCATTAATGACCCCTATTAATGGACGATTTGTCTAATTCCTTAAACTGTGCTATTAATGACGATTGTTTTATAGGCAACCAAACATACACCGCGTGCATTCATTGTTTATGCTATAACTTACGGAATCTGCATTTAAATCAAAAATATGGATTTCATCGTTCGCCTTTCCAAGTTCCTGACACAATTTTAATCCCTGTTTTCTAACAAAAGGAATTCATTTTTTTATGTTGATCATTTCGACAAATGTCAAATGTCACTATTGTCAGTAACAAGGCTACTGGGTGATTCTTAGCAGTTTCCGGATGAATGATGAATTCGCAAACCAAGTTTTCTTCATTGCAGGAGAAATGAGAAATATAGTCGACGGAAAAATTGTGTAACCAACTTGTATATTAAAAGGCGATTAATAATCGCCCTCATTAATACACTAGTTGGTTAAATAACTATTATATGGTAAGGATATTCGAAAATCTACAGTACAACAGTGAGTTTCTATGGGAGTATGGTCAATTAATTCTTCATATTATCAAAATATCATCTAAAGTTATAGTATAGTAAACATTCATAACATAACTGAATACAACACGAGGTTGCCAGAGCATGAATCAGTTATTTGGATCTTGAGGAAAATTTATTTCCTCACTAGATACATCTAATAGTTGTACTGGAGGTTCTCTAAAACCTTATCAAATTTTGTTTCTGTGGTCGAACTATCAAGTAGGTGCTGAGGTCATGATTAAAAGGACGACAACCGAGACGACAACAACAATATTATTAACGTCAATTGTTTTACCAAGGTATAACAACAGTGACAAACTGGATTTGTTTATGAAAAGGTGCTTGATGTGACTAATGAATGATAAATAATTACTCGGGCAAATTGTTTATTTTATGTATTTAAGTTTTTTTTTCAACACATGACGATGAATCAGCTCCCATTATACCAAAGTTGATAAAAGTGAAAATTACCTAATAATTTTTCTTCGTATAATGAAATGTTGACAAGACCAAAGTCGAAAATACATACAGGGCTAGTCAGCATATCAGGAAGCTAAAGAAAGCTCAAGATATACTATCGAATGACCACTGAAAAAATATACGGGCGAGTATATACGGGTCAAACTTCTACTCTTTAAATATTATTACATCCCCTCCACGCAGAAGGCGAAATCAAGCAGATTTCAATTATTTTTTTTGTCTTGAAGTGCCGCGCCTACTTGATATTTTTCGATTTTTTGTTCAGTTTTCAATTTTTATTAGAAGACTCAGGAAAAATCAAATATTTTCAGGATATTTGGTAGGTGTATAAATACGTCAGAAGAGACATTAATTCAGTTATAATAATTCGTGATTATTGATAAATGGATAAAAAAATCGTCGTGACACCTTGTCAACCCTGTGTTGATTGAACACCAGTGATCAAATTAAATGTTTCCATCATGGATATTCGGAAAGACATATCAAGGAAAACCAAAAATTCTGTTTTTTTTAAAGAACCTACTTAATAGTATCAACGAGAGAATAAATGATCTACCAAAAAAATATGTTTTATCGTCCCTCTTGACAATTTCTCAACAAATAACATTCCTAGTAATACGATTTAGCGAGTGATTTGGTTAAGTTTGATCTTAGTCAATTCTCATCTGCTTTGTGTATTTTTTATTCATTATTTCTCTTTATCTTATTAGATATCCTATTTATCTCTCCATTGTTAAATGGAGAAGAAAATGCATTTAGCCATCGAGCTAATAAGGAATTCATGCATATTATTTCCTATTTTATCGGCAAATATGAATATTAAATTTCACTTTTCAATGATTCATTTTTTTAGTCATGTCATAAATATACGATCTTCATTGGAATATCCATGAATATTTTCGAAAATCACTCATCCTCTCTGTCACACTTGTATATTTATGATAGAAAAAATAATGCTATTTCGAAAAATTAAATCAATGAGTGAAAATACCTCGGAAAATACTTGGTGACGTGAAACAGATTTGAAAATAATAAATCGTAGACTATTACAACATGATATATACCTATATATATTATATATTTGTATCCTGAAATGCAGTAACCCGCGCGAGAGTATAATTTTGATCGAGGATTCGGCCGATATAGAACCCTGAACGGAAGACAAGCTGCACACGTACCTACCGTTCGACAAGTAGGTCTGCACACAAAAAACACGTTCTTGAACGGACCACTCCATCATTTTAACGAATAAAACCACCCTGTGAATGAACATTCTGTTCAAAAATGATGAATTTGTTCCAGTCTTCATTTACTCAGTGTTTATACATGGTGTATCTGAATAACACCGAAAAAATTCAAGAGATGATTCCTCGTGATATTTTAGGAAATAAGGTTCATATGAACATGTGTCCTAACTTGCTTCGTTTTTGAGATACAGGGTATTAATATTTCCATGAAAAATCGTTTTTTTTTTTTCATTACTCAATTGTCTTTTCATCAATTTCAATAAAACGCTGTGGATTTGTTAATAATAATATGGATCTTCTTCTAGTACAATAAGATTCGAAATAATATTTCCAGTGGCGTCACAGTGGGTAAATTTATCGATATTTTTTGAGAAAACAATAAAAATTCAATTTGACTCCAAATTTCAATGTAGGTGTTTTCAAGACTTCCATTGAGATTACTCAATAACAACAATTACAATCATTTTCGGGGTTTTCTCAGTCTCCAACCATACTGAATTCTGGCACCATGAAAACTTATACAGGGCTAGAAATATAAAACAATTATTAACACTTCCAACTTCTACATCCTGTATCTCAAAAATGAAGCAAGTTAGGATACATGTTTATATGAACTTTATTTGCTAGTGCTAGACTATCACAATGATTACCCCTTGCATTTTTTCGGCGTTATTTAGATACACCCTATACAGGGTGTTTCATAATTGAATGCTGATCCTTAAGGGCGATAATCCTTGGATGATTTCAAAGAGAAAAGTTCATATCAACATATGTCCTAAACCTCTTAGTTATTGAGCTACAGAGTGATGAAATTTCAAGAAAAAAATGAGTTTTTCATCATTATTTTTTATCACTCTTAGATATTGTTATGATATTTTGTATACACCTTTTCATTATTAGAGAGCATTTTTTGACGTGGAAGATATTTGAAAATTCTCACCAGTGGCGTCCGTACGGGGTTTGAACTGACAATTTTTGAAGAAAAAAATTGTACGCCACTGATTTTTCTGGGAATCAGATTTTTTTCTCAATTCTTATTCATTTTGGAGCAAATTTGGTCCTTACACTTAATTTCATACAACGTACCGTTTTCGCGTAAAAAAATAAAAGCCAAAGAATTTTGTTCCTTCAGTTCTTGGATATTGTTTTTGGTAATTCAGTAGACACCCACTATAAGTTGAAACACATTTTGTTTTTGGACGATAATCAAACTTTTACTTTTACCAGTGATGTCCTCGTAGACCTGATATTGAATGTTTAGTTTAAAAAAACGCTGTACGCTTCTGATTTCAACACCCTGTAGCTCAAATCCATTCAATTATGAAACACCCTGTATATAGTGTTCCCTGTCGCTTATGATGATAATTGTTATCTAATCGTCCTCTACAATCTGTTTATTTTTTCCAGCAGCCCACATGGCGATTATGGGGCGAGGAGAAGGCAGATGGCGCCCTCTATACAGTGTACCTCAAAAAGGTCCGTTACCACCGGCCGACTAGGAGTTTATCGTCTTCCCATTCGGTGAGTTAATCATTATGAAAATGTAAAAATAGGAATTATAGGGGCAGAACTAGCGCAGCACGTATTGACCACCGACATGAAGACCATTGTTCTTATAGAATTACAATTTTTCCTGTTTGTTCACCCCGATTTCAACACAACAATAAACACAAACCGGGTCAACAATAAGTTAACCAGCTAATTTTCCTCGAAGTGTATTCCAAACTATGACGTCATAGTTAAACAACCTCACGAACCAGCTCATTGAGGTAGTTCATATAGAGTAGTTGACGATTCTGATTGGTCACTGTATTGGGCTATTTTTTCTCTCTTTTGTTATTATAATCTGAGGTTATAATTGATAAAGTATTGAATAATTACCCTTTTCAATGAGATAATTACCATGGATTCATTCTAAATATTCGTAAAATAAATGAATGCAAGATTTTATCATATCGACGGTCATCTCACGTATAATGACGTATCTCAGTTTTCTTTAATTTACCAGAGTGCAATGGGGAAGACCACTGATGTTTTGAAACGACATTATCGTGAACTCTATACTGAAAAACTACCAGTGAATTAATTTTGAATTTTTTCAATCATGCTAAGACGATGAAAAAATAAATTAGAATTTGTCCATTTCAAAACACATAATTCCTGCGCCATTTGAAATTTCATCAATTCATTGGTGTGACTGGTGCGACGTCTTATTCCCAACACGCCTATTGTCCTTGAACTGACCAATCACACTGCAACACTGCAGAATGACGAGGTATCAGAGAGAGATCGCTACAGTTTGGGACTAATACGTCACGACTCCACCATCATATTTGGCTGTTTGAAATATCGAATGAAATATGCTGATTTCAAAACGATATAGATTCGATTCCCTTCAACTCAAACTCATAATATTGATTGTAGATCAAACGTAAATCATGATTCGTCGATTGAAAGAGGTTTGCACGGATTTCTTTCCTCAGTGGTCTTCCCCATTCAAAGATTTTCAACATCTTGATTCCCTCGTAACTCAGAGGTATGTTTATGAAAGATCATTGTTTTTTTATTTATTGGCGGAAGAACTAGAACTGGTTGTTATGATATGGTGAGATTTCGAAAAACCATCGCTAAAAACGGAGAAAAAAATATGATTGTGAGATACGTTACTACATGAGATCATGTTTTTCAATGTGGCCTTAGTTACGCCATGAATATAAAGTGAATTCAAATGAATATCAGATCCGATTATTCATTTTTATTGATAAAAAACACAGAAATTAATTCGACATGTTCAATACCTTACAATACCCCTCTCACTGTTGAAATTTTCTACAAATAATAAAAATATATCTCACGTATTGACGTAACTCCCATAGTTAGGTCACTTCGTGAGATTTGGTAGTCCAATAATTTGAGATAGGCTGAGTATTCGATATTTAATTACACGAACACCAATGAATATTGAGCTATGCCACTTTGTGAGATCATAGAGTATAAGAATATAAGTCATTTGACGAAGTGTCTCAAAATCCGAATGGCGAAGAAATTAGTGATCCATTGAAAATAAGTAAGTAGCTAGTTAATCAAATTTCCTTGGATTTAAAGTAGGTAAGTCCCTTATATCAATCTATAGTATCTTTTCGTTACAATTGATGAAAAACTTATTCAATATATGACTACTAAAACCATCAATAAAACAGGGGAATAATAATAAATAAATAACAATTGACATATGTCAAGCTCCACAAGTAAACCGTGACGTCACGATGAAGTTACTGTGCTGTCATAATATAGTTAACTTGGTTTGTCTGGTTAGGTTCGAGGAAAATGACTAATCTGCTTGTTTTCGTCGGGACAGTTTTCAACGTATGTTTTCAATCCAATAACATATTTATTATGCATAGGTATTATTGATGTTTCCATCAAAACGATGATAATGTCTGTTTTGACCGAATATTTGTATTTCACAAACAGGAACCTCGATAGGCCGTATCTATGATTGTCGCTGTCCATCGCTATATTCTCTATCGCATTTGTTTTTATTTGTCCCAATTTTCAACAATTTGATGTACTTTCATAGATCATAAACAGGATGTGGAAACAGGAAGCTTTTAGTTTAGTCCAGTGGCATACATAAATGATAATATATTTAGCTTTCTGTTATATATCTACGTAGTTTCCCAAAGAAAAATTAACAGCAAAACACAATTGGCGATCACCAACTATGACTTTCGCTGATTATTTTCTCAAAATGGGATGTGAAATGTAGATTTCATTATTTATAATGGTGTAGAGGACTTATGTGGGCCACACTGTATAATTTCGTAATGAATCATATTAAATATAGAATTTGATGGATCTCTCTCTTTGAAATTATCATATGTATTACCACAAGTGATACTATTTTGCCGAAAATATTCGGCGATTGTTACGACAGCTCGTTTAATAATTTCACGAATGACAACAAAACTTTCGTGACGTAGGCGAGAAGTTTTGGAACAATGTCATGGGATTTCTCGATAGTAACAATAACAAAGACAAGTGCTAATCTAGTTAAAATCATGAAAATAAAATATCCACTACGAATGTAATTCGGCGTGATTATTTTTTAACTATTTCGCAAAATGCTCAGATTGAACGGAACATTTGACAGCCAAACACTTCGGTTGTTTGTCGAACAAAACAGCCTACCAACTACGCCATCTGTGGGTATTCATTCAAACGAAGATCCAAACGTGAAAAAATATCGCTGTGAGTTGCTACTCACAAATTATAAATTATCAGTATGATACCAAATGATTGGCTAGAATTTCTTATTGATATTGGTTGAGAAACGAAAACGTCACATTTTGACAAAATAATCAATAGAATTCAATGATTTAGAAGTTTCATCTGACTCTCTTATCATTAATGCTGGTGTTTCGCAAGGATCAATTCTAGCACCAACACTATTTCTACTCCATATCAACGATTTGTTGGAAGCAACTTCATGTCCAGTACACAGCTTCGCGGATGATAGTACCCTCCATACCGCCTTCTCTTCCAGGGCTCCAATTCCAGCCAGGCAAATCAGAAACGAACGAGGGAGAAATGTTGACAACATAAATATAGACTTGGCAACAATAATTCTCGAATGGGATCCAATAACTTGGTAGATTTCAATGCAAACAAACACAAGCATGCCTTTTCTCTAGAAAAGCCAATCTCACTAAGCTTGGCAGGAGTAACCGTACCTTTGAAGACATCCATTTCGATACTTGGTATTACTATCAGCATTAACCTTTCTTGGGAAAATCACGTGAGATCAGTTGCTAAAAGTGCATCCCAAAAACTTGGTTTTCTGTTTCGGGCCAGAAGCTATTCAACTTCCAGTCAGCTGCTTATGATCTATAAGACACAGATCCGACCTTCCTGGAATACTGTTCCCATATTTGGAGTGCAGCACCCAAACATACCCTGAAACTGTTAGATTCTGTCCAATAAAGAGCAAATCGTCTCGTGGGTGATGCCTCGCTCACAAACTCACTTACTTCTCTGGAACACCGTAGAAAAGTTGGCGATCTGGCTCTATTTTATATATATTTTCATGGACGATGATGTTCAAAAATATCAACAATTGTTCCTCCCTTGGCAGTCCCCTCGAGTTGAGGCTTCGCACCCCTTCGTGGTCACTTTGGAGACCTGCAGAACATCTCTTTCCAAAGACTCGTTCATCCAACGAACAGCGAGGCTCTGGAACACATTGCCAAGGGAGGGAGGGAAGAACACCAATTCCTACCTTATTTCCCTTGGTTTTCACGATGTTCTCTTATCATTACAGGATATCCCTTTTCGTGGGAAGTTAACGTTTATTGAAGGTGCTTTACAACTTTTTCTCCTGTTGTTTGCAGGACTCCGACGACGAAATCTCCCACCTGGAATGGGAGACGGTGCGCGTGCGCTTCGTCAAGGCGGGCACGCTCAAAAAGCTAGTCGAGGCTCTGTCGACGGACGACGGCGAGCTGGAGACCACCTACATCAACGTCTTCCTGGCCACCTACCGCAGCTTCTCCACGCCCAAAGAGGTGCTCAGACTGCTGCTGCAGCGCTACGTCGAGCTGGCCGAGCGGCCCAAGAACGGCAAGCCGGATCCACACGAGCAACATAGGAAGTGAGTAGGGATGTCGTCACTAGCGTCGGGTTTTTAGCAGCGATCCTTCGTACTCAAATCTAGTAGGCAATTCTAATAGATCGTACTAGATTCTACATGCGATGAAAACATATAGGAATATTGAAAATGAATCTTTATTTGGGTAATGATCAATATTAATGAGTAAGACTCAGGCTATAGTATACAATTTAATCATTCGAACGTTTTCGGCACTAGGCCATCTGAAAAGTCAATTTTTCTTTTACAGCTACAATATATGTGAAAATGTGAGGTTAGAAATAATTTGATTATGTCAGAATGAAAACGATGAATAGAACAAAAACTCACTTGTTATATATTCTTGCAGAAGATGAGCTTTTAAAACAATGTACATGTATTGAACAACATTGGTTACTTCATAAGATGTTTTTGGATTTATCCAAAATATTAAAATGGCACAATAGTGAAGTGCTGTTTCCTCTACTTTCGGGAAGAAAAGACATAAAACATTAAAAATTGATAAATTGACATAGTACAATTGACATGAAATGGAAACGATAACTGACAGTGACCACGGAACTATTCAAACAATGACAAGCCAGACAGAAGCAATAAAAATGTGTGACGTACATGTTGAGCTAGAAGAGAAGAACGAGAGAAAGTTTAGTGTGACTTTATAAACAGAGTGGTATCAATACTGGTACACTTTTTGATTGGTCAGACCTCTAATATGGAGGTGCATCCACCTATGTTGTTCTCTCCATTCAGTTCGACACATTCTATTTCACTTTGTCAACGCTTTGTCATTGTTTATCGCTCTTTGGACACAAAACATCCAACAATCAGACATGAAAATTTATATGTCAGTACCTTGGATATTAAATATTAGAATCCGTCTTCTGGGGCTGGTAAATCTCAGATTATTCAGATGATGAAATGAAAATATCAAATATCTGAACCTAACATCAGGTGGACACTTCGAAGGCGCAAATTCATTACTGCATGTAAGATACCCTTCAGATTTTTAGCTATTCATTGACCTGAACACGAATGGCATTACGGAAACGGCAGCCATTTGGAGGCCTATTGTTGTCACTCTATTCAATGTCGTTTCATTTGCTACTTTTACACGCAACTAATTATTCTCTCGTCTCGTCTCTTTTTTCAAGGACCCTCGTATCCGCCCTCCATGTTTGGCTCGATAGTTACCCAGAAGACTTCAAAGATCCTCCGAATCATCCTGCCCTACGTCAATTACTGCATTTTTGCGAAGAATACCTGCCCTCTACCGAGCTTGATGCCAAAGTTCGACATAGGATAGAAAGGTTAGTCGAAATGTCATTTCACACCAAGAAAAAATCAGTTATATTTAAATAAATACAAAAATCTCAAAGTCATTTTGTTGTCAGACAGTTGAATTTGTTCAACTTTTGATTACACGGAATAACTTAGGATCAACTGGGATTCCCTGGTGTAATCACTTGTTGAATTAATTCATTTTGATAAACCAGACTATTGAGTGACATGTTAGTAAGGCTCTCATTAGATCAACAAAACATTCGCTCCTTAGGGACTTGGTTATTTCGTCCCGATTTCATAATGTTTATCTTCACTAATATTTCATAATAAACATTCTTGATTTTCATTGCACACATGTCATGTCTTGGATGTCATGTCATGCATGTCAACTTCAAATTTGCCTTCATTAGTTCAGTACGTTCAATGACAATTAAATCAAGGTCCGTCACTCATCAAATTCACTTCAACACGGCATGTCGCAGCGATGCTTAACAAAATGTAATCTATATTTTACCCCCTTTTGGGAAACACATTTTAATTTGTTTGTAACGTATTTTACCTTAATGTCGTTAGTTTCAAACTGGACCATAGATATTTTTATGGGCGAATTTCCCTGTTAACCTGACGAGTAAGTAACCTCACTTTTATCAATTTCCAAATTCATATTTAACAATTTCGAATTGGATGGTTGCCCGACTGGCCTAATTTCAAAGAGCTCGAAACCGGTCTGTAGGTGTCTAGCGTGACCAGGGTAAATCGAAATCAATAGTCATCCAGGAAAGAATCACTTGTATCAGTATTCGTTCATACGAGTCGATGGATAGATTTCGGGATGATGTAATTCAATGTTCTGCGTGGTATTAGCCAGGAAAGTTGTTGTTTTTCTCCCGAAATCTACCATTGCTGTTCATTTTATGAACATTTTGTGGGAATGACTCTGAGCTTTTTGTATTTATTCAACATTTCATTCCACTTTTAGCGTTGTGGCTATTTCGTAGTTCAGTTATATTTGTTACAAAGTGCTGCAAATTGGATTTTTTTTAGGTATACTAAAGAAGCTCATATAGACCCTCTTATTGCACCGCCACCAGCGTTTGCTATGCGATCAGTAGCTGCTGGATGGAGGGTATACAAATTACCAGATGTACCTGTTAGACATTTTGCCGAACAACTTACCAGAATGGACGTGGTAAGTGGAAAAAAATTGGGTGGTTGACACTTTTCACATGAGACGACACAAGGTCTTCGGTAATTTCTATAAACTTTACCGAAAAATTGACAAGAAAATAGGTGGTGGATAGGAATAATTGGGTGGTAGACACTCAAATAAAATGAAATTTTTTCATAGAAATTTCGAAAATTTGCCGAACAAATTTCCAGAATGCATGGACTGTTACAAAAAATTGGATGGTCAACACAGTTTCAAAAAAATCAAGTGGTTAGTGCATTTTGACATTGTGACGAAATTGGGTGGTCGGCAGCGTTAACACATTTTGCCCAACTAATTACCAGAAAGAACGTAGTGGGTAATTGAAATATTGGGAGAATAATTCATTACAAAAAAATTCGGGTGTAGACACTCTTTCACAATATGCCGCAGTTACAAAAAGTTGGGTAGTTGACACTTTCTGATGAAACCGAATTTCTTCTTCCAAAATTTTCAGATGCTCTGTCCAACTACCTATTTGAATGGATGTGAAAGTTTGACCCATAACTTGAAAAAGAATTGGACGGAACAACTCACCAGATTAGACGTAGATTATTACCAAATAAAGTGAACATGGATACTTTTTGAATGAAACAAAATCACATCATCAATGTCTCCTACTATCCGAATAGTTGTAGAAAATCGGGTGGTTGACACTTCTCGAATGGAACCGAAATCGGGTCCTAAATTTCCTCACGTTTCAATGCGTGCTTCTCATACTTCATACCTCCTATTTCTTCCAGGATTTGTTCATAAAAGTGGTTCCTCACCAATGTCTGGATTCTCCTACCTCCGTTTTAGTCGACAATCTTCATTTTTTCCGCTGAACAATGCCACAGAAAAGACGTTCTGAATGCATGAATACACAAAATTGGGTGGTTGAATAACAACAGAATTGAATCTTCGGTAGTTTTCACATACTCTGTCCAACAAATTACCAAGAAAACGTGAATAATTGGCGATAATTGGGTGGATGACAATTCTGAATGAAACGAAATCGAGTTCTAAATTTCCTCACACCCCCCTTTTCTTCTGGGAATTGTTTAAAAAACTCGTTCCCCACCAATGTCTGGGTGTCCTACCCATAATTTGCGAATCAAACAAAATTGAGTCTTAGGCATTATTCGTACATATTGGCTAACAAATTAACAGAAAAAACGTAAATAGTTGAAAAAAAAGTGGTTGCCACTTTTTGATCGAAAAATGAACGGCAATTTCCGCACATTAAGTTGTGTGCTTCCCACATTCACTTTCAACCTTCTCATTCTTCCAGAGTTTGTTAAGATTTTCCGAACAATACAGCATATAAAAGACCTAAATACACAAAATTGGGTGGTCGTCACTTTCTGAATGAAACGGAATTGAGCCTCCGGCAGTTTTCACACACTTTGTCCAACAAATTACTATACTGAAAAACGTGAATAGTGTACGAAAATTGGGTATTCGAAACATTTCGAATAAAACGAAACAATACAGCAGAAAAACGTTCTCAATACGTAAATACACATAATTGGGTAGTCGACATTTTTTCACAAACGCGAATAGTTTAAAATTGAGTGGTTGACACTTTTTGAATGAAACGAAATCGAGTCCTATATTTCCTTTTTCACAGGATTTTTTTCCTCCGTTCTAGTTGACGATCTTCGTATTTTTTGCTGAACATTACAGCAAGAAAGACGTTTCAAATACGTAAATACACAACATTGGGTGGTTGACATTTGTTGAACGAAACGGAATTGCTCCTTCGGCAGTTTTCAAACATTCTGTCTTGCAAATTATTATAAAAAACGTGAATAGTTGATGAAAATTGTGTGGTTGACACTTTTTTAATGAAACGAAATCGGATCCTCTTACATTTCTAACTTCCTCACATTTCGCTGTACAATACATCGAAAAATTTGTTTTGAATACGTAATCAGACAACATCGGGTAGTTGACACTTTCGGAATAAAACGGAATTGAGTCTTCGACATTTTTCACACACTGTGTCCAATAAATTTTCAGGAAAAAACGTACATAGTTCGCAAATATTGGGTGGTTCACACTTGACTGAGGCCGCTACACAAAAAGAGGGTGGATGACACATTTTTAATCAAACGGAATTGAGCCTAATGCAGTATTCATACACTTTGTTTAACAAATTACCAGGAAACAACAAGAATCGTCCAAAAAATTGGGTGGTAGACACTTTTTTAAAGAAACGAAATTGAGTCCTTGATTCCCTCTTTCTTCCAGGATTTGTTCAAAAAACTCGTCCCCCACCAATGTCTGGGCGCGGTGTGGTCTCGAAGAGACAAGAGCCGCTCGCACGAGGCTGCCACCGTTCTGGCGACTGTCAACCAGTTCAACGCGGTCTCCTACCGCGTCATATCCTCCGTGCTGGTCGAACCTGGCGCCAAGTCTGGCGATAGGGCTGCCATCGTGGCCACGTGGATAGACATCGCTCAGGAGCTGCGGCTGATCAAGAATTTCTCCAGCCTGAAGGCGATCATCAGCGGGCTGCAAAGCAACCCGATTTACAGGTTGGTTACATTGCAATTTTCACTACTAACTTGAAGTTGAAGGATTCTTGCTGACTCCAAGCCTATTTTGGCCCACATGGCATCCGGCACAGTACTGAAAAATGTAATTGCTCATATTATATCAATGCCATTATCAAAAATCATATGCTACTTTTCTTGTTCTTGTTTATATAAGCATCAAATTATATAAGAAAGTTGATGAATCAATGAAACTGTGATACAATAAATCAGTTTGAGAATTAATTGAAAAAGTTATCAATAGGCAAGGTATTCTACAGTAATAAAGAATTGTCTCTAAATGTTGATCATAACATAAATGCTAATTGAAATCAATAGGCTATTTCTTAGTTGATAAATGCTTATGTTTCTAGGCATCTGTGATGTTCCTATAGGTGATTGTGTGACAAACTGGACAAAACGTGAATGATATGTCATCTGTACACCGTCTACACTTTGATGTGGTAATAAATTTGATTCGACTTCTCATCTCATCCAGGTTGCACAAAACGTGGCAGGCCATCGCCAAGGACAAGATCGAGATGTTCGACGAGCTAGCGCGCATCTTCAGCGAGGACAACAACCAGATGACGCAGCGCGAGCTGCTCATGCGCGAGGGCACGGCCAAGTTTGCCGACACCTTCGGCGAGAACGACAAGCACCTGCAGAAGGTCTTCCAGAAACAGAACAACCACACGGCGAACATCTCCTTCGGTACCATACCGTATCTGGGCACCTTCCTGACCGATCTGACCATGATCGATACCGCCATACCGGATACTATCGCCGAGGGGCTGATCAACTTCGATAAGAGGCGGAAGGAGTTCGAGGTGTTGGCGCAGATCAAGTTGCTGCAAGGTGAGGGTCTCCATTTTTTATATATCTGATTATAGCTGGCGCTTTTTCGTGATGATAGCGAGCGAAGAGGAGAAAACATAGATTAAGTCGTCTGTCTTCACGTTCAGCTGGCTCCTTATCAATGTCAAAAGGTGATTGTTTCGGTCTATTGTCTATCGTGTGGTTGATTAAGTGATTCTAAGAATGATCAGGCAGGGTTTCAGTGCCTGAACTCCACAACCTTCAGGCTGATTGTATGTATACTTTTTCATGCAGTTGGCTTAGCTTAGCTAACTTGATTAGGTTCGAAAGCTTCTTCACCAATTTTTTCCTGGAAAATCCTACTGTGACACCAATTTTTTCCTGGAAAATCCTACTGTGACTCATGTTGTTCCGGAAGATTATATCTCCAGCATGTTAGTGCCTCAGGATTGCCTCTTTTTATATATCTCATTATTGCTCGAGGGTTTTCGTGGTAATAGCGAGCAAATAGGGGGAAGAAGTGAATAAATTCGTCTGTGTTCACGATCAGTTAGCTCTTCATCGATGTCGAAAGGTGACTTCAATATAGCTTCACTGTCTGATGCTTCACCTAGTCATGCAGTTGGCTTAGTTTAGCTAATTCTATTATGTTAAAGAGCTCCTTCGCCAATTTTTTTCTTGGAAAATCTTGCTGTGAGTCATGTTCTTCTAGAAGATGATATCTCCACCGTGTTAGTGCCTCGCACTTCAGTATGACTGTTTCCTTATCTTCATGGCAGAGGAAGAGAAGAATAGTGTCATAAAGTTTTTTGTGGAAAAGGAATCAAATTTGGTGAGAACGACAAGCACCTGCAGAAGGTCTTCCAGAAACAGAACAACCACACGGTGAATATCTTCGGCACCATACCGTATCTGGGCATCTTCCTGACCAATCTTAACCATGATCGATACCATCATACCGGATACCATCGCAGAGAGGCTGATCAATTTCAATAAGAGGCGGGAAGAGTTCGAGGTGTTGGCGCAGATCAAAGTGCTGCAAGGTAATGATTTCCTTTTTTTCATTCATTTGATTACTACTGGAGTTTTTTCGTGATAATAGTGACAGTAGAGAAGGGAGATGTGAGTAAAGGCTTCTGTGTTCACGTTCAGTTGGCTCTTTAGAAATTTCAAAAATATGACTTCAATGTTGCTTCACTTTCTGATGCTCCATCACTCTACTTATAGCAACATTGATTGTGTTTTTCAGCGTTTGTTTCAGTGTTGTTTATTCATTCAGTTAATTAACTCAATTAAGTTCGCGAGTTTCTTCACCATTTTTTTCCTGGAAACTCCTGCTATGATATGTTCTTCCGGTAGGTTATATCTCCAGCGTTTTACTGCCTTGCACTTCAGTATAATATGAGAGACTGTTTTTCTTATCTTCATGGCTCAGGAAAAAAAGTGTTTCAGAATCCCTTGTGGAAAGTGCCTGGAAACACACCATTGATACACTTTCGGCGAGAAGTTCATACAGTAGTTCGTTTGGTAGATTATGAAGTAGGTTATCTGGGTGTTGGATTTTTATATTTCGGAGAGTGAATGTCGGTAACTTGAAAATTTCTCAGAGCGGATTTTCGACAGCTCAGATATAATGACATGGGTGTATTCTAATATTGGACGGCAGATCTACTTTGTGGTTTTTGTATGTCTTCGACCGGAAGTGTTGACCTCTTGTTTTGCACTGGTTTTTGATCTCCTCAGTGTGGTGGTTGAAATCTACTCCATATCAATCTCAAGGTACTTTGCTGAATTTTGGCTTCTGAGGGTGTGATTGATTCTCAAAAGCCTGAACCAAGTGCTGGTGTTGTTCATCAACCATTGTAATTTTTCTGTGGTTTCACATCATCAATTCTATTATTGTCAAAGACATTTATTATTATAATCGTCATTCCCTTCCAGGTGCCGCGAACGCCTACCACTTCTCTTTGGACCCCGCCTTCGACCGCTGGTTCGACGCCATCTACCTCCTAGACGACCGCGAGGCGTACCAGCTCAGCTGCCGGCTGGAACCGCCCACGTTGGTCGCCCAATCCGCCCCCCATCCCAAGCAGGCCGCCCACCCCAAGGCCAAGAACCGCCACCAGAAGAACGACTCGATAGCCAGCACGTCGAGCAGCACCAGTGGCGGCTCGCAGTTTTATTGTGAGGTTGACAGCGCGCCAGGGTCGCCGCGGAACGGCGGGTTGGACAGGAAGTCGAGCCCGTCGCAGATGTCGAATTCGAGCAGCAGTTCGTCGCTGCCCTCGCTGGACGTGTCGATGACTAGTTCGCATTCGGGCGGAGCTAACGGCAAGTTGCAGGTGAGGGTCGCTGCTACACACTCAACCAAACCGTTCATTTCTATCAAATATACCTACTTTATTCGTGTCGATTCTGTTCGGATCTTGTTATCATGGAGAAAGATATCAACATTGAGCTCATGAAATACCTGGAACATTCAGGTATTATCAACGATAGGCAATATGGCTTTCGTCATCAGAGATCAACTGGTGACCTGCTCGCTTACGTCTAACATATATGGCAGCAATCTATTGAAAAATATGGTGAAACCTTGGCCGTGGCACTTGATATCTCCAAGGCATTCGATCGAGTCTGGCACCGCACGGACTCCTCGCCAAGCTTCCATCTTATGGCTTGCCTCCCCAGCTATGTTCTCTGCTAGCTAGTTTTTTCTCAAACAGGTCTCTCCATGTAGTGGTCGACGGAGTTTCATCTAACTCTCTTATCATAAATGCTGGTGTTCTGCAAGGATCAATTCTAGCACCAACACTATTTCTACTCCATTTCAACGATTTGTTGAAACCAACTTTATGTCCAGTACACAGCTTCGCGGATGATAGTACCATCCATACCGCCTTCTCTTCCAGGGCTCCAATACCAGCCAGGCAAATCAGAAACGAACGAGGAAGAAATGTTGACAACATAAATATGGCCTTGGCAACAATTCTCGAATGGGGATCCTATAACTTGGTAGATTTCAATGCAAACAAAACACAAGCATGGCTTTTCTCAAGAAAAGCCGATCTCACTGTGTCCAACATAAGCTTTTCAGGAGTAACCATACCTTTGAAGACATCCATTTTGATGCTTGGTATTATCAGCAATAACCTTTCTTGGGAAAATCACGTGAGATCAATTGCTAAAAGTGCATCCCAAAAACTTGGGTTTCTGTTACGGGCCAGGAGCTATTTCACTTCCAGTCAGCTGCTTATGATCTATAAGGCACAGATCCGACCTGTCCTGGAATACTATTCCCATATTTGGAGTAGTGCAGCACCCAAACATACCCTGAAACTGTTGGATTCTGTCCAAAAAAGGGCAATTCGTCTCGTCGGTGATGCCTCGCCTACAAACTTACTCACTTCTCTGGAACACCGTAGAAAAGTTGGCGATCTGGCTCTATTTTATAGATATTTTCATGGACCATGCTCTCCTGAAATATCAACCATTGTTCCTCCCTTGGCAGTCTCCGCGAGATTAACCCGTCGAGTTGAGGCTTCGCACCCCTTCGTGGTCACTTTGGAGACCTGCAGAACATCTCTTTCCAAAGACTCGTTCATCCAACGAACAGCGAGGTTTTGGAACACACAGCCAAGCCGATATATTCATCGATATATCGATAACCATCGTCATATCGATATATCGATCTTATCGATAATTGATTGAAAGTATATTCTTCAGAAAGTTACTTGAGTTGAAAATAAAAAATACAGTTGGCCTTCGCTGGGATCATAGAGCCACCGATGAAAATGGTGTGGCTAGATTCTTGCCTACAAATAGGTGAGAAAAAACGACATTAATATTGATATCATTACGAAGATATACGGCTACGGATATAGTTACGCGGATATAAGACCACCGATATACTGTCGCGCGAATACAATATCGCGGATTTTATGTCGCGAATATAAAAGCCATGGATCCAATGACATGTTAGCAAAAATAAGTATCCCATTTTCGATTTCAGGTCCCCTTCAACCACTCAGGTACCCTGAGCACCGGCTCGCAGAAGAGCAGCCCCGACTTCTACATCATCAAGGTGACGTACGAGACGGACGGCGTCGAGACGGACGGCATCGTGCTGTACAAGAGCATCATGCTGAGCAACAACGAGCGGACGCCGCAGGTGGTGCGCAACGCCATGTACAAGCTGGGGCTCGAGGGCAGTCCGGAGGGGTACACGCTGGCACAGGTGCTGCCCGACAAAGGTGAGAAAAAATCTCAACATTCTGAGTAGAAGCCTTGAAAGTTTGAGATTCTGATGAAATGAAATAATTATGGCGCTAATACATCGTCGTACTCTTACAATCGACTCAACCAAAACTATACTTCAATTTAATTAGTGGAAATGTCTCGAAGCTTCCAAAGCTGACCGACAAAGGTGAGAAAAAATCTCAACATCCTGAGAAAAAGCCTTGAAAGTTTGAGATTCTGATTAAATGAAATAATTATGACGCTAATAAATTGTCGTACTCTTACAATCGACTCAACCAAAACTATACTTTAATTTAATTATTGGAAATGTCTCGGAGCTTTCAAAGCTGACCGACAAAGGTGAGAAAAAATCTCAACATCCTGAGAAAAAGCCTTGAAAGTTTGAGATTCTGATTAAATGAAATAATTATGACGCTAATACATCGTCGTACTCTTACAATCGACTCAACCAAAACTATACTTTAATTTAATTAGTGGAAATGTCTCGAAGCTTCCAAAGCTGACCGACAAAGGTGAGAAAAAATCTCAACATCCTGAGAAAAAGCCTTGAAAGTTTGAGATTCTGATTAAATGAAATAATTATGACGCTAATAAATTGTCGTACTCTTACAATCGACTCAACCAAAACTATACTTTTATTTAATTATTGGAAATGTCTCGGAGCTTTCAAAGCTGACCGACAAAGGTGAGAAAAAATCTCAACATCCTGAGAAAAAGCCTTGAAAGTTTGAGATCCTGATTAAATGAAATAATTATGACGCTAATACATCGTCGTACTCTTACAATCGACTCAACCAAAACTATACTTCAATTTAATTATTGGAAATGTCTGGAAGCTTCCAAAGCTGACCGACAAAGGTGAGAAAAAATCTCAACATCCTGAGAAAAAGCCTTGAAAGTTTGAGATCCTGATTAAATGAAATAATTATGACGCTAATACATCGTCGTACTCTTACAATCGACTCAACCAAAACTATACTTCAATTTAATTATTGGAAATGTCTGGAAGCTTCCAAAGCTGACCGACAAAGGTGAGAAAAAATCTCAACATCCTGAGAAGAAGCCTTGAAAGTTTGAGATTCTGATTAAATGCAATAATTATGACGCTAATACATCTTTGTACTCTTACAATCGACTCAACCGAAACTATACTTTAATTGAATTATTGGAAATGTCTGGAAGCTTCCAAAGCTGACCGACAAAGGTGAGAAAAAATCTCAACATCCTGAGAAAAAGCCTTGAAAGTTTGAGATTCTGATTAAATGAAATAATTATGACGCTAATACATCGTCGTACTCTTACAATCGACTCAACCAAAACTATACTTTAATTTAATTAGTGGAAATGTCTCGAAGCTTCCAAAGCTGACCGACAAAGGTGAGAAAAAATCTCAACATCCTGAGAAAAAGCCTTGAAAGTTTGAGATTTTGATTAAATGAAATAATTATGACGCTAATAAATTGTCGTACTCTTACAATCGACTCAACCAAAACTATACTTTAATTTAATTATTGGAAATGTCTCGGAGCTTTCAAAGCTGACCGACAAAGGTGAGAAAAAATCTCAACATCCTGAGAAAAAGCCTTGAAAGTTTGAGATTCTGATTAAATGAAATAATTATGACGCTAATACATCGTCGTACTCTTACAATCGACTCAACCAAAACTATACTTTAATTTAATTATTGGAAATGTCTCGGAGCTTTCAAAGCTGACCGACAAAGGTGAGAAAAAATCTCAACATCCTGAGAAAAAGCCTTGAAAGTTTGAGATTCTGATTAAATGAAATAATTATGACGCTAATACATCGTCGTACTCTTACAATCGACTCAACCAAAACTATACTTTAATTTAATTAGTGGAAATGTCTCGAAGCTTCCAAAGCTGACCGACAAAGGTGAGAAAAAATCTCAACATCCTGAGAAAAAGCCTTGAAAGTTTGAGATTTTGATTAAATGAAATAATTATGACGCTAATAAATTGTCGTACTCTTACAATCGACTCAACCAAAACTATACTTTAATTTAATTATTGGAAATGTCTCGGAGCTTTCAAAGCTGACCGACAAAGGTGAGAAAAAATCTCAACATCCTGAGAAAAAGCCTTGAAAGTTTGAGATTCTGATTAAATGAAATAATTATGACGCTAATACATCGTCGTACTCTTACAATCGACTCAACCAAAACTATACTTTAATTTAATTAGTGGAAATGTCTCGAAGCTTCCAAAGCTGACCGACAAAGGTGAGAAAAAATCTCAACATCCTGAGAAAAAGCCTTGAAAGTTTGAGATTCTGATTAAATGAAATAATTATGACGCTAATAAATTGTCGTACTCTTACAATCGACTCAACCAAAACTATACTTCAATTTAATTATTGGAAATGTCTGGAAGCTTCCAAAGCTGACCGACAAAGGTGAGAAAAAATCTCAACATCCTGAGAAAAAGCCTTGAAAGTTTGAGATCCTGATTAAATGAAATAATTATGACGCTAATACATCGTCGTACTCTTACAATCGACTCAACCAAAACTATACTTCAATTTAATTATTGGAAATGTCTGGAAGCTTCCAAAGCTGACCGACAAAGGTGAGAAAAAATCTCAACATCCTGAGAAGAAGCCTTGAAAGTTTGAGATTCTGATTAAATGCAATAATTATGACGCTAATACATCTTTGTACTCTTACAATCGACTCAACCGAAACTATACTTTAATTTAATTATTGGAAATGTCTGGAAGCTTCCAAAGCTGACCGACAAAGGTGAGAAAAAATCTCAACATCCCGAGAAAAAGCCTTGAAAGTTTGAGATTCTGATTAAATGAAATAATTATGACGCTAATACACCCTCCTACTCTTACAATCGACTCAACCAAAACTATTCTTCAATTTGATTATTGGATGTCTCAAAGCTTCATTATCAGCAGTCAGCTAATAGACTCTGCTAGGGGTATAAGCTGGCCCAGGTGCTGCCCGACAAAGGTGAGAAAAAAATCTGAAAAAAAAAAGAGATTTTGATAAAGTAATATGAAATAGTTATGGCGTTAATACGCCGTCGTCAGGCCCAGATAAGCAGCTATTTACGCCCTAGGAGAAAGTTCTGAATCACTCCCCCTTCCATTGGGTCTGGGGAGTGGGGAATTTTGTTGGCATATACTATACAGTGTGGCCCACTTCTAATGAAAACACCCATGTATCTTATGTAATCGTTGGGTAAGGATCCTGAAATTAGCTGGAGCGAGAGATATACCAAATGCACTCTATGACCAAGTGGGGTCATTTTCAGTGATATACACTGCTCGCCAACAGCCATGGAACCACACCAATTTCCGGAAAATTATATTAGGAGTCAAAATAGGTCGAAAATCACTTCAGATTCGGAATCAGGATGCCCAATTCCCTAACTTTTCATATTTTTCTTGGAAAATTCTCAGTTTTGAAAAATTGAATTTTGTCGCACTTTTTACGGAAGCACCCCCGTATCTTACGAAATTGACTTTATCTTTGGACTTTTCCTTCCCTCTGCAAATTTCAGAACCCTACGTCAATAATTACGTGAGATACGGGGGTGCTTCCATGAGAAGTGGGACAAAATTTAATTTTTCTGAACTGAAAATTTTCTAGGAAAACTATGAATAGTTAGTGAATTGGGCGTCCTGATTCCGAATCCGAAGTAATTTGGGGCGGTGGCTCCATGGCTGTTGGCGAGTAGTGTATATCTCTGAATATGTATAATTTAATTTTGATAACTCCCTGAGATAGAGCAAAGAGCGACTGAAACTACAACTTTTTCGTCTCTTGGATTTTTTATCAATGAATTTTATAATATTTCCTCCCCCATAACGCCACTGTTTATAATAATTTTTTTCTAGTTAGGGCCAAATCAGGCCCTTATCACTAAAAACAACGCTGCTATATCCGTGAGAAGATATTCTTTATTTAATTTTGATCAGTTCAATTTTGATATTTCTGTCTGTATGTTTCTTCAAGTTCCATTGTGATGCCTACCCTCCTGATTCTTAGTTATACTTTCAAGGACTTATCTTTGGAATTTAATATTTTCGATTAGGTACATGATTTTTTTTTATTTCAGAAATGGTTCTTCCTGCCAATTCGAATGTCTATTATGCAGTGAACACCCAGTTTAACCTCAATTTTATCTTACGTCCGAAAAAGTCTGACGAAAAAGATACCCCAGGCAAAAATTCAAAAAGCAAATACAAATTGTAATATTCGATAAATCAGGTATTTATGCAGAAAAGTGCGACGTTGTATTTATTGTACCTATTATATTTAAATGATTTTTTTGTAAAATGTACATTGATAAACTCATTGAGCTGTTTATGACAAATAATCTATGCAACAAAATAACATCTGTGATAAAAGCACAAAATACTCTCATCATCACGTCATATGTGGTAATATTTTTATTTATTTCATAAAAAAGCCTTCTCATTTTTTTAACAAACTAGATTATAGACTTGTTTTTCCAACATTTCGCTCGTTCATTATTTGGGTTATTGCTTTCTGTTCATCCTGTGAATCCTCTATTCCTGCAGTATTTTCTTTCTATATCTAGCATCACAAAGTTTTTATTGATATTTTTCTGAAGGTGAAAAAATGCCTAAGTGGATGTGAAGGAGCAGTAACACAAATTTGTGAAACTAAGGAAGTAAAAAACGATGTACTGACCTAAATTCGATTTTTTGTGTCTTGTTGATGTATTTTTGTGATTAGTCAAAATTGATCTATCATATTCTCAGTGCAATGTCCAGTGACCTAAATTTGATGTTTCCATAAATGTAGAAGGATCAATCAATTAGTATAAAAAACCTTAAACTACGAGGTCATTCAATTGTTGTTACGGAAAAATCAAGTGGGTGTTATATTTCAGGGATGAACATTTTTTTATCTGTTGAATTCTAATCTTCTTGTGAATTTCTAAAAGAGCATCTCGAATTATAGAAAAGAAAAAATGTTGGGAATGGTTTTGTCTCAATGATTTCTAGGAACTTTTTTTTTGAAGTTTTAAGATCAAAATCAGTATCTAGCGCCCAATTCGCGATAGAAAATAACACGTTGCCCCACCTGACGGCAGCAACTTGAACAATTCTGAGCGGTTTTTTTTTGATGATATGACCAATAGGCACAAACAAAAAACAAATGTGAACCAATGGAAACAAAGTAAACATGCCGCTTTGACAGCTTTCAAGAACTTCGATAGATGGCGTACGCTTATTTTCTATCGCGAATTAATAACAATATATCAACTTATAAATTCATCATTATTCATTTTTCACATATGGAATCATCCTGTGGCGACCCACAAAGAAATTAAAACTTCGGAATTATAATTCTTATTCACGGGACAATTTTTTCAAAAAAAAGGGCATTGAACATTTTTCGAATAAGTGTTCGATCCCGTGGTTTTGGGGTCTACTTTAATCAGTATTGAAGCCTAAATGGCTTCCTATTGGGTGGAAACAGGTTAGTTGGATCCTTCTACATTTTCATAATTTTGTTTACATTAAATACATTTATCATTCATTCTATTTCTGTTTTCCCTAGAAAATTGTTGGAATATTACACTTTCTGTACAATCTATAGAAAGGATTTTTTTTGAATAAGTTATGTGTGTATATGATGTACTAAATGTGTAAAGAAAGGTGATTAGATTTTTTTTATTTATATTATATTTTAGGACCAATTATTTTCCCAAGTGACCAATTTTTGTAGCAATATTGTATCATTTTCAGTATATGTGTATCTCTAATTAAGAATAATTATTGTGAAAATGATGATCTATAACCCTAAAGTTACTTAACTATTGTAGATACTTTTGTAATGATGTATGGAGATTTTATTTTTATTGTATTTTTCTATTAAAAAAGACCTAAATAATTCATGTGCATGTTTCATTTCACTCCCAACTAAATAGTTTTCAAAATACAGTGTGTCCCACTTACCATGCTCACCATGGGTATCTTTTTAACGGTGAAAGATACGAGGTCGGTTAAATGACACCAAATGTGGAGTTTGTCAAGGCCAACTATAATGTGAAAAAATATTTTGATAAAATCTATTCGTTTTTGTTTTATACGCAAAAAACAGATTTTGATCATTTTCATGTCTCCTCCGTAACTTCTTTATTTATGAAAATATTCAAATAGGAATTTCACATTCTCATGGCAGTTTTTCAAAGTGATTTCGAAAAAAATATGAAATTTATTCTAACTCTTTTAGAATTTGAGATATCAGCACCAACTTTAGTTTTTCAAATGTAGGTCATAGCTCGCTATGACTTAGTTACAAATAACTTTTTTTTCTCTTACAGATGATATGTCGCAGTAATAATTTTGTGTTGATAACAATGGAGTTATCGTCATTTATACAAAAACTAAAAATTATTTGGAAGCCGCCATCTTGAATTTATGAATTTTAACAAAAAAATCATGATCTCCGACCTCAAAAACCCCCACTTACCAATTTTGAATGGAATCGAACCAAATCTTGTCCGCCATCTTGGAGCAGCCATTTTTTTAATTGATGGCGGACAAGATTTGGTCCGATTCCATACAAAATTGGTAAGTGGGGGTTTTTGAGGTCGGAGATCATGATTTTTTTGTTAAAATTCATAAATTCAAGATGGCGGCTTCCAAATAATTTTTAGTTTTTGTATAAATGACGATAACTCCATTGTTATCAACACAAAATTATTACTGCGACATATCATCTGTAAGAGAAAAAAAAGTTATTTGTAACTAAGTCATAGCGAGCTATGACCTACATTTGAAAAACTAAAGTTGGTGCTGATATCTCAAATTCTAAAAGAGTTAGAATAAATTTCATATTTTTTTCGAAATCACTTTGAAAAACTGCCATGAGAATGTGAAATTCCTATTTGAATATTTTCATAAATAAAGAAGTTACGGAGGAGACATGAAAATGATCAAAATCTGTTTTTTGCGTATAAAACAAAAACGAATAGATTTCATCAAAATATTTTTTCACATTATAGTTGGCCTTGACAAACTCCACATTTGGTGTCATATAACCGACCTCGTATCTTTCACCGTTAAAAAGATACCCATAGTGAGCATGGTAAGTGGGACACACTGTATAGTTGAATGATGGAGATGAACAAATCTAATGTAAAACTCGGGTTACAGAGACATTTGAATAGAAGTTGAAAAAAATGTGAATCTAGCCATACCACTTATTTATACCACTACTTTTACAATATTTGAAACTTGAAAGTTGTAGGATCAATTTGACGTTTCATCAAAATCATTAAAATTAATTCTATTAACTTTTGCTGTACTCCAGAATCGCCTTAAAACATGCATCAAAAGTGTACACTCGTCTTCAGCGAACATGTCGCGGTTGGACGGTATGAGCGCTCTTATTGCAGCGGTGATTAAGAGAGCTGACACCGTTCATGTGCGACATGTTCACTGAAGGCGACTGTACATGGCGGAAGAAAGAACATTGTTGTCTAAACAGAATTTGTTCCGAAAACTCATTTGAAATATGCCAAGATATAGATAGTTTCCAGTTTGCAAATTTTGCATAAATTAGTGTACCTTACTCAATGCCAATGAGGAACCTGTTCTCTAGATTTTTGAGGACTCGAGGAAGGATTGATTTTTGATTTTTTTTTTCATGTTATTCTGGTTCCCACGAAAAGGAATATTCTGTAATGTTCAGAGAACATCGTGAGAACCAAGGAAAATAAGGTAGGAATCGGTGTTCTCCTTGTATTTCTGGAGGTCATATGCCTCGGGGAACACCTCCCTTGGCAATGTGTTCCAGAGCCTCGCTGTTCGTTGGATAAACGAGTCTTGGAAAGAGATGATATAGCCAACCCTCTTTGGTTTCTTTGTATTCTCTATACTGCATAATCGACTCAAAAATTGAATACAGGGTATAGTCTGTGTGCTATACACAAAAATCAACATAGAAAATTTTACCTATCTAATAGGTTAGAGTTATTATTCCGATGGGGCCTCTATTCAGGAGTACGTACAGTTCCTCACGTCTCACCCTGTATACAGTGTGTCCCACTTACCATGCTCACCATGGTTATCTTTTCAACGGTGAGAGATACGAGGTCGGTTAAATGACACCAAATGTGGAGTTTCTCAAGGCCAACTATGATGTGAAAAAATATTTTGATGAAATCTATTCGTTTTTGTTTTATACGGAAAAAACAGATTTCGATCATTTTCATGTCTCCTCCGTAACTTCTTTATCTATGAAAATATTCAAATAGGAATTTCACATTCTCATGACAGTTTTACAAAGTGATTTCGAAAAAAATATGAAATTTATACCAACTCTTCTAGAATTTGAGTTATCAGCACCAACTTTAGTTTTTCAAATGTAGGTCATAGCTCACTATGACTTAGTTACAAATAACTTTTTTTTCTCTTTCAGATGATATGTCGCAGTAATAGTTTTGTGTTGATAACAATGGAGTTATCGTCATTTATACAAAAACAAAAAATTATTTGGAAGCCGCCATCTTGAATTTATAAATTTAAACAAAAAAATCATGATCTCCAACCTCAAAAACCCCCACTTACCAATTTTGAATGGAATCGGACCAAATCTTGTCCGCCATCTTGGAGCAGCCATTTTTTTTAAATTTCAACAAAAATTCCATGAATTTTTCCCGACTTCTGGTCGTCCGATTAACGTGAAATTTGGCAGGTGTCCATAATTTCGGTGATAATACATTATGGAATTTTTGTTGAAATTGAAAAAATGGCTGCTTCAAGATGGCGCACAAGATTTGGTCCGATTCCATTCAAAATTGGTAAGTGGGGGTTTTTGAGGTCGGAGATCATGATTTTTTTGTTAAAATTTATAAATTCAAGATGGCGTCTTCCAAATAATTTTTTGTTTTTGTATAAATGACGATAACTCCATTGTTATCAACACAAAACTATTACTGCGACATATCATCTGTAAGAGAAAAAAAAGGTATTTGTAACTAAGTCATAGTGAGCTATGACCTACATTTGAAAAAATAAAGTTGGTGCTGATATCTCAAATTCTAGAAGAGGTGGTATAGATTTGATATTTTTTTCGAAATCACTTTGAAAAACTGCCATGAGAATGTGAAATTTTTTGCGTATAAAACAAAAACGAATAGATTTTATCAAAATATTTTTTCACATTATAGTTGGCCTTGACAAACTACACATTTGGTGTCAATTAACCGACCTCGTATCTCTCACCGTTAAAAAGATACCCATGGTGAGCATGGTAAGTGGGACACACTGTAGGTAGTAACTGAGACTAAATTTTGACGGGACATTTGTTCACAAAAATGGTCTCTACGATGTATAAGTAATAAGGTATTGTGTCGCAACAGCTATACGAGTATACGCATGGATTCTGAAGAAATTTCAAAAAAAATTCTATGCGGCAACGGACAGGGAGGGGATATTCAACCCTCCCCCCTTGTAGATCATCTATAAAGTTAAACTCTTTTTGTAACGCTTAAAATCCAGTAACCGTAGATGAATGGAGAACATTGGAAAACCAATAATCCAAGATCAATTTCAATTTCCTAGTGGCTCACGGCCAGACTAAGTTGATTAAACGGGAGACAATCAATGGACTTCGAAAACACTGTAGTTTGTTTCACCTAGCACAGGTACATACATCCTCATCCCTCCTTTATATTGATTGTGACGTAACGGTTTGGAGGGCGCATGGCCATCATGGCCGATTTTCAGCGGTTCGGGGTTTTCAGTATTTCCATGTCCTTGCCAGTCCGAACTCCGACCCTGCTGAAAAACCATGCGCGGGAACTCTGAGTTTTTCGAACGATTCCAACGGAGTTTTGAATGAAACTGTGGTCGAACGTATCGAAATGTCCTGCTGAAATACTCAAAAGATTTGGTTCAGTACTATTCTGACGAGATGATAGGAGGTTTTTGAAAATTTTGGACG